GGTCAGGTAAGGATCCTGGCCATAGGAACTTCCATTTTCCCTACCGACACATTCCTAGAAAATTATAATTCTTTAAAACAGACATGGTAAGATATAAAAATCTGAGTATTCCTCTAGTTATTAAAGAAATTATATCCATACCTCTAAGAAAACATCAGACATAAGGTCACTTACAAAATTCTACCAAAATTTTAAGAAATAATGCCCATCTTACTTGTGTCTTAAGGTCATAAACATCTTAATAACAAAACCTGAAACAGACATGAAAAGAAATGCATGAGCCAATTACACTGATGCAGATAGATGTAAAAATCCAAAGTAAAATATTAACAAATAAAATCCGGCAATACATAAGAGAGAAAACACATCAAGTTGGTCTCATTCCAAGAATGTAAACTTGGTTTAATATTTGAACATCAATCAATGTAACTCACACCAAATGAAAAGAACCATATGATCTTAGTAAAGTGCTTTAAATTTTGAAAAAATCCAGTATCCTTTTGTGATTAAAAAAAAAGTCCTTGGGAATTGTAGAATGCTTTCTGAATTTGGTAAAGATCTAGATACAGAGCAAATATCACACATGAATTGAAAACTTTGCCTTCCAGATCAGCAAAAGGTTGAATATTTAACCTTTCACTGGAATTCCTAACCAGTGCAAAAGGGCAAGTAAAAGAAATAAAATCTTGAAGGGAATGGAAAGAAAGAAACAAAGCTATAATTATTAGTAGACAATATATGCAAATCAAAATTATTTCTATAAACACATTGTTAGGATTAGTGCTTAGTGTATTTGCTAAATACAGACATCAATTTATTTGTTGATTGCTCTGAAACTTCACTTGAAACCATATTAAAACACAGGTTGCTGGATTCCATCTCCAGAGTTTCAGATTCAGCAGGTCTGGAGTGGGGCTCAGTAATTTGCATTTCTAATCAGTTCCCAGATAATGCTAATACTTCCAGTTAGGGAAAAAAAAACTGAAATCTCTGCTACAGATTTAGATTAAAATAATTTACCAAGAATCTAACAAAAGATATGCAAAACTATCCATAGAAAACCTATAAATCACTGTGTGTATAAAGAAGATTTAAATAAAGGATACTCATGTGCCAATCTGCCTCAATGTAATCTATAATTTAATGCAATTCCATTCAAAATGTTCACAGGTTCCTTTTTACAGATCTCAACAAGCAGATTCTGAAATACATATTGAGGCATCATTGATAATTCTGAGTAAAGAGCATGGACACTTAAGACAGAGTCCCTGAGTTTGAATACTGACCCCTACCCTTCTTTGTGACTGTGGACAAACTACTTAACCTGACTCAGTTTTCTCATCTGTAAAGTGGGGAAGACCAAATCTACCTATCTGTCTTGCCTGAGGGTTTCAGCCCCAGGCAAGTTATGGACTCAGTGAGACCAAGAAATGACAAGGGAACACTCTTGGAAGGGTTTATACCTAGCTTTATTCTCCCAGTGGTAGGTCCAGCACTAGAATCATGTCTGCATCCAGCAGTCTGCAGGTCTGTGATCCACCTTAGTCTCTGCCTCCAGCCTGAGCACTGGGTAGAGCTCTTTACATAAAGTGACTCAGTCAGTAATAGCTCATTGCCTACAGTGTGTAAGCATTAGCCTAGCTTTAATCATCAAGTAGTTTAGGGTCAGGTGAGGATTTTTGTGACAAAGGTGGATCTACAGAACAGTTGGGGAAAGGGTTATCTTTCTAATAAAAGACACTGGGACAACTTGGTGCTCATATAAGCACTGCTTGGTGGACAACTTCGGAAAAAAAACTTCACTTTATATAGAAAAAGCAATTCCAGATAGATTACAGATCTAAGTGGAATAGGTTAAAAAAAAAAAAAAGCTTTTAGAGGAGAAACTAGGAGAGTATCTTCATGTCCTCGGAGTAGGGAAAGATTTCTTAAATACTACACAAGGGATATTAACCATAAAGGAAAATAATGATAAACCTGACAGTAAAATTAAGATCTTGTGTTATTAGAAGAAACCACTAAGAGAATGAGAAAGACATGCTGAATGAAAAAGATATTTTTAACACATATGACTGACAAAAGGCATGTACACAAAAGTTTCACATAAAAAAAAAAACCAAAAGCAAGTAGAAGAACCCTTCCTCAACACAAAAAAACAAACAAACCAAAAAACCAAAAAACCAAAATGAAAGCTAACCAAATGAATGGACAAAAGGCTTATGCAGAAATTTCACAAAGGAGAAAAACAAATATGAAGAAGCAATTTAATCTCATTACTAATAAAGGAAATGCAAATTACTTCACACCAGTATAGTGAAAATTTGTTAATGGCTGGTTAACTGGGTATTGGTGAGAATGTAGAGCAACAAGAATTAAGTATTGGATGAAGAGTAAATTGGTACAATCACTTATTTTAGCATTATTTACTCAAAATAAAGATATGCATAATCCATGACTCCATCAACTTGAATCTCAAGTATATACATCCAAAGATATATGTACACATGTGAACCAGGAGATAAATTATAATTATCATAGCAGCATTATTTGTAATAGCCTTAAGCTAGAAACCATCGATGGGTCCCAACAGTAAAAAAGGACATGTAAACTATAGGATATCCAAAACAAGGAATACTATACAGTGATGATAAATAACTAGTTAAACTTGCAACTACATGCTGAAACCTGAAACTTAAAAATGCAATGATGAGTGAAAGAAGCCTGACCCAGGAAGTAGGCTGGCATAACTAACGTAAGGAAATTGATGATGCCCTAAGAGTGATTACCTTGGCAGAGAGGGAGTCCTGCCCAGGAAAGGAAACTTGTAGGGCTTCTGAGGTGTTGGCTTGGCTATGTTCCCTCTTGTGTGGTGTTACCTGTTTGCTTTAAAATATGCTGCGATTTGTATGTTATTGTTTAATGTGCTTTTCAGTATGTGCTGTTTTTCACAATAAAAAAAGGTTGGAAGGTAGGGAAGGTCTGAAAGGACAGATTTTTTCTGTGTTGAACCTGGATTTTGTTAAAAGTGAAAAGGGACCAGGAGTTCCAAATATCTAACAGTTCATTTTATAGTAGTAATAACACAGAAGGTGATGTCAGACAACTTCTCCACCACTGGAAAAGGGGGTAAAAGTGCCACAAATACTGAAAGAGGAAGAGGCTCCAGGATGACCTGACTGGTGCTTAGATGTAGTGTGGAGTGGAGGAAGGGGAGGGGGCAGGTGGGAGGAAACAATTGAGCCTGTTAATGTCCATGGCTCCTGCCTTTTCTCAGCTCCAGGACTGTAACTGCCGTCTGCTCTTCCCAATACCCTTTCACCTAGCTTGTGTCTCACCTGAGTAAAGACTCAGCTCAGAGGCCCTCTTCTCCAAGAACCCTAGCCCCTGCCCCTCCTTTCTAAGAGCTGCTCATCCCCAGTTGTCAGGGTCACACGGCACAGTACCTCTCTGCTCTCCACCCCACAGATCCATCTTTCACCCTCTATGGATAAGTGACCCCTGCATTGCAGGCTGCCTGCCTGAGGTCTTGTGCTGAGTTAGACGCTATGGGCTAGACAAGCAGAATGAAGAATGCAGAGAGGCCTCCCCAGACAAGAGACAGGGAATAGCTCTGGAAGGGGCTTTCCTTCTGAGATTCTTCTCTTCAGTGGCTTTCAGGAGGGGAGCAAAGAAATGTTTGCCTCTGTGCTGGGGTTATGCATATGTTCCCATTCAGTTTGAACCCACCTCTCCCCACCCCACTGAAGTGAGTGGGGCAGTTATTGAGTCCCATTTTACAAACTAGGAAGCTCAGATCCTGAGAAATAAATACTTTCAAAGGGTCACAGAGGCAGAGCTGGATTGCAAATACTGGGCTCTGCAGCCCAGGGTCTGCCTTTAGACATAAGGTGGATACTCAGGAATTACTTATTCAATAAAAAAATCATCCTTTGTCTTCCAAGATCCAGGTAGACACAGCTGCTGTCCTCAAGTATGGAAATGGAAAGGGTTTCTACAACTTGTTTTTGGGAAACTTGGGAAAGGACCAAAAGACAGGGAGCCAAGTGTTTTGAGGTAAGATTCATTACTGACAAAGCACTTAACAGCTAAGGCACTGACTGGGTAGCCAGACCCCACAGAAGCAGCTGTTCCCAGAGCCCACCCTGGAGGTTGACTAACCTCTGCCTTCCACCTCCTCCTCTCTGCCTCAGGCAGAACCCCTGGGAATCATAGATGTGCAATCCATCAAGCATCCAGGAGCGCTCAGCAACTTCGGAGGGCTTTTGTGCCAGTGTCCTACCTTCAGGGGGCTGATGGTATGGAGAGGGGTGGGGATGGTGGTGTCAAAAGCCATCTTGTACTGAGATCCAGCACCATCTGAAGAGGTTCATTTCCCTTTCTTGCTCTTGAAGACTTTCGTAATCACTGATTTAACATATTTACAAAGGCCCCCTATAGGCTGAGGACACCCCTCCAGAAACAGTGAGCCCACTTCTGCCTGGCAATGTTCACCACTTTCCAAACCCCTCACCCGTGACCTGGTGCATGTAATGGTGGGATGCTGCTAATATACCTGAACAAACCTGTCCTTCTACAGTACTATTCCTGGAACTCTGAGTCTAGACCAGCCCTGGGGAATGGTCAGTTCAGAGGTCAGCTTCCATCTTCAGCTAAGTTATTTCCAAGGAACTGTGACTTGCTCTGAGTATCTGCCCTATGGAAGAGAGCTTCAAGGTGGTCACAGTCTGGCCCTGAATACCTAGTAAGTGAAGGGGCATTCTCTTAGACCTGAGGGTCCTCCCAAACGTACTTAAACTTACAAGGGCACCCTTTCACTTCAGGCTCCCTCCAAAGTCCAAGAGGCCTCACCCACTGCCTACGGTATACCAAACAAGGAGGAGTCAGGAAAGGGACTGTGAGCCTCTGCCTTCCTCTGAGGTTTGTCTGTTTATTGGCCACTTCTTAAGAGTCCCAGTGCCATGGTCCAAGGGCCTGTGCTGCCCGTAAAGAAGAGGCCCACACATCCCAAGGGCAGCTGACACCAACTTACCCATTTATTTGACTGAGAACATTAAGGAAGACAACAAAATTAAACGATGTTTAATAAAATTCCTATAGAAAACTCAGTCTCAGAGCAAATACTCAACTCTCTTTCCAATGTCACTGAGGACCGAGAGCTCCCAACAGTCTTTGGGGAATATGCAGTAGTTGTGCTGATGCTGCCAGGACGCAGAAGAGCACCAACTTACACATTCAAACCAGTGGTTCCTATTGCACATGTAACATTATTTGCCACCTAGCACCCTAAATTTATGGTACCTCAACAAATAAATTAAAGAATTCCATGTGGCATGAAACCATTTCAATTTGAGCTAGTATCCTTGAAAAATCACATTTTTACAAGTTTTAATAAATACAGTAAGAACAGCTGGCATTTTACTAAAATCCTGAATTTTAGTTTTGGAGTTTATCCCATATATAGTTTCCTTTTCATTTGCTTTCTGCCTTGGATACATTTGCTCAAGTATTATGCTCTATGAAGTGAAATCTTTCATAGATAGCATGTAAAAACTGTGTGTGCCTCATTACAGAAGCAGCTGGAAGAACTGGATCAAAAACTTAGGAAAAAGCTCTGCTTTCTGTAGAACTTTAAAACATAGGCTGAAGAAAACCAAAGAAACATCTTTTTATATAGAATTCCCACTAGAAATTTTATAAATATATGTGCAGCATCAATAGATATTTTCCTCAACAGTAGATTTTCAGCAAGTCTGGTAGGGAAGATCTTATGACAATAGATAAATATCAACAAAAAATTAATATTTCCACAGGTTTAAAAGATTACTTTTGGGGAAAAAATTCATAATTTCAAATTATATTATAATTTGTAGTTTAAAAAGGGAAAAATTTAAAAAGGGAAAAAAGATATCTCTCTTTTAAACCTCATTTGGAAAGAACAGCTACCAGTCCCCAGGTGTGGATAAGTTGGCTGGGTGATGATAACACTTGGTCACAATATGAAAAAGAAGTATTTACACCTTTCCAGAAAAGTACCAAATACTTTTAAAAAACAAAACAAAAACAATCCCTAGTAGCATTCCGTGGCGTGCAAAGTCAGCAGGAAATGATTATCCTTAATGTTGACAGTTTTCATGAAGAATCTTGGAAGCATCAAAAAGCAGAGAGTGGCCATCAGTGATTGCTCAGATTAGCTTCTGCAGGGTACCTTGTTCTTAATTTAACTCTTACTTCCAGATTTCATTCCCTTTATAACATCTGTGGCAGGGTTGTGTTCAATTTAGTGCAAGTGCAAAATGAAAACTAAAATGAAACCAACGGATACAGGAGCAAAGGCTGATCGCTAAGATCTGTAGTCTTTCCGAACTGTGTGGGCCATCCAGTTCACTTTAGTAGTCCAGCTTTCCCTGAGTGCCTCATCAAATTTTTGCTTAAATTGCTTTAGTGCTTCTTCTTCACTTTTCCCTAAGGCAAGAGAATCCTAAAAACGAAGGGAAAAAACCTGATTTATACATCCTCCATGGCAATGTGCAAATGTCAAAGTCTACAAGAGGCTGGCTCAGCCCCACCTCCCAAACTACGGTCAAGCAGTGTACCTCATGTTCTTATTTAAAGGCCATTTGCAGGAGAATTAATACCAGGGTAGGTCATTAGTAATATGACCTATGCTGAAGCATTTTTCAAGATAAAATTAATTTATGATTACAAGGCAACTACTCAGCTGCTTGCCCCTACCACTCCTGGGTGAGATCCATCTCACAGGAAATGACTTTGTTCCATTCCCTTTGAACATTTGAATGAAACAGACAGGTATAGCTGAGCTCCACACCCACAAAGTCCAATAAACAAAGCAAAGGAATTTGTACCTTAAGATACTGTATATCCTTAACTGATGTGAGCTCAGGAAGTCCTGCAGTCAACATCAGTGCAAAGAGAGTGATGAACAGATTCCCATGCCGTCGTAAAATCAGATACGCATCCTCACAACACTGGCGGAACCTTGAGTTGATGCAGCAAATCATAAGAATGTGATGTGAGAGGAGAGGTAGCAAATTTCATTAAGGAAAACAAAAGAGACATTATCTACACTTCGCAAAAAATTCCACAAGAGCTGGAAAGTTTCTACTGAACTAAAGGTCCATTTGTGATTTTTTTCTTCTTTGAAAACTATCCCAGGACTAAAATTTACATAAAATAGATAAAGCTCTCTAAAACATAGTATCTTTTTCAAAAATAAAACTAATTTGAAACTCTAAGATAAAAGGCAATATAACACTCTAGGTTCTTACTAAATTCTGTGAAACACAAAAACTAATCATAAAACAAGTGGAAATCATTATCCATGAGGATTTCTGAATGTAATTCTAGATTTGTGCTCTGATTCCAGACACTAATTTCTTTAATGTCAATGCTTGTACATTATACCTCCCTGTCATCTTGCCTTCCCAATCTCTCCTTTTCAAGTGGTCATTCAAGAGGACCAACCAATTCTGTCTTCCTAATACTGCCAAGGATAGTTTCCTTTTCATTTGCTTTCTGCCTTGGATACATTTGCTCAAGTATTATGCTCTATGAAGTGAAATCTTTCATAGATAGCATGTAAAAACTGTGTGTGCCTCATTACAGAAGCAGCTGGAAGAACTGGATCAAAAACTTAGGAAAAAGCTCTGCTTTCTGTAGAACTTTAAAACATAGGCTGAAGAAAACCAAAGAAACATCTTTTTATATAGAATTCCCACTAGAAATTTTATAAATATATGTGCAGCATCAATAGATATTTTCCTCAACAGTAGATTTTCAGCAAGTCTGGTAGGGAAGATCTTATGACAATAGATAAATATCAACAAAAAATTAATATTTCCACAGGTTTAAAAGATTACTTTTGGGGAAAAAATTCATAATTTCAAATTATATTATAATTTGTAGTTTAAAAAGGGAAAAATTTAAAAAGGGAAAAAAGATATCTCTCTTTTAAACCTCATTTGGAAAGAACAGCTACCAGTCCCCAGGTGTGGATAAGTTGGCTGGGTGATGATAACACTTGGTCACAATATGAAAAAGAAGTATTTACACCTTTCCAGAAAAGTACCAAATACTTTTAAAAAACAAAACAAAAACAATCCCTAGTAGCATTCCGTGGCGTGCAAAGTCAGCAGGAAATGATTATCCTTAATGTTGACAGTTTTCATGAAGAATCTTGGAAGCATCAAAAAGCAGAGAGTGGCCATCAGTGATTGCTCAGATTAGCTTCTGCAGGGTACCTTGTTCTTAATTTAACTCTTACTTCCAGATTTCATTCCCTTTATAACATCTGTGGCAGGGTTGTGTTCAATTTAGTGCAAGTGCAAAATGAAAACTAAAATGAAACCAACGGATACAGGAGCAAAGGCTGATCGCTAAGATCTGTAGTCTTTCCGAACTGTGTGGGCCATCCAGTTCACTTTAGTAGTCCAGCTTTCCCTGAGTGCCTCATCAAATTTTTGCTTAAATTGCTTTAGTGCTTCTTCTTCACTTTTCCCTAAGGCAAGAGAATCCTAAAAACGAAGGGAAAAAACCTGATTTATACATCCTCCATGGCAATGTGCAAATGTCAAAGTCTACAAGAGGCTGGCTCAGCCCCACCTCCCAAACTACGGTCAAGCAGTGTACCTCATGTTCTTATTTAAAGGCCATTTGCAGGAGAATTAATACCAGGGTAGGTCATTAGTAATATGACCTATGCTGAAGCATTTTTCAAGATAAAATTAATTTATGATTACAAGGCAACTACTCAGCTGCTTGCCCCTACCACTCCTGGGTGAGATCCATCTCACAGGAAATGACTTTGTTCCATTCCCTTTGAACATTTGAATGAAACAGACAGGTATAGCTGAGCTCCACACCCACAAAGTCCAATAAACAAAGCAAAGGAATTTGTACCTTAAGATACTGTATATCCTTAACTGATGTGAGCTCAGGAAGTCCTGCAGTCAACATCAGTGCAAAGAGAGTGATGAACAGATTCCCATGCCGTCGTAAAATCAGATACGCATCCTCACAACACTGGCGGAACCTTGAGTTGATGCAGCAAATCATAAGAATGTGATGTGAGAGGAGAGGTAGCAAATTTCATTAAGGAAAACAAAAGAGACATATCTACACTTCGCAAAAAATTCCACAAGAGCTGGAAAGTTTCTACTGAACTAAAGGTCCATTTGTGATTTTTTTCTTCTTTGAAAACTATCCCAGGACTAAAATTTACATAAAATAGATAAAGCTCTCTAAAACATAGTATCTTTTTCAAAAATAAAACTAATTTGAAACTCTAAGATAAAAGGCAATATAACACTCTAGGTTCTTACTAAATTCTGTGAAACACAAAAACTAATCATAAAACAAGTGGAAATCATTATCCATGAGGATTTCTGAATGTAATTCTAGATTTGTGCTCTGATTCCAGACACTAATTTCTTTAATGTCAATGCTTGTACATTATACCTCCCTGTCATCTTGCCTTCCCAATCTCTCCTTTTCAAGTGGTCATTCAAGAGGACCAACCAATTCTGTCTTCCTAATACTGCCAAGGAGAAAAACAGACCCAGAGGTATACTCTGCAGGATCCCAGGCAGAACTAGAAATGACAATAGCAATCAGCTGGTAAGCATAGAGCATGAGTTGGTCACATCATACAGCATGTCTCTAATTATCTTAAGAGCCCTGAAATTTAATTATCTTTGTTCCTATTTTAAGATGAAGAGCCAAAGACAAGAAGAGAAGTAATGGAAACATACAAGTAGCGAGGGACAGATCAGAGATTTTAAGACCTGTCCCTGAAGCTTGGCTCCCTTACTATTCTCCACATAGAATGACAGCAAAATCCCTATCCATTTCAGCCTCTCACTATCAAATGTCTTAACAGTTTCAGAGAATTTTCTAAGACAGGTAAAAGGTAGTATACTACTGGAATAAAAACACAGTAACTTATTTCAAATTTCTAGCATTCTGTTTCTCTCTCTGAACCAAAACATGGATTTGACAAGCAAATTCCCAAAAGTTTCCTGTTAGCAGACTGGAGTATCTTCCAGATCCAAATACCCTTCAGCTAAGAAACGCTAGTCCAGGTGCTCGGATGAGAAAACATTAGAAGTATTTACCTTTGATGTTAGATGTGTTTACAAGTGCAATACTCACCGGCCAAACTTTTCTGTGTTCCCTGTTTTTCCTTGTTGAATCACATGAATGAAATCATAGGTAAGAATAAAAGGCACTCGCTCCCTTTTAATGCCAAATTTAGACTTGAAATTTCCAAGAATGTGCCCAAAGTCAATGTGGAAGAGCTGAAAAACAAGTGGGATTTAACTTCCCTTGTTTTTCTGGTTAGATTCCAAACAGAAAGCAAGATCTCAGCAGTCCTAGACCCCCAAGCACTACATCTGAGCCCTTCCCTCTTTGGACAGGCTACTAGGCCATTTGAATTAATGTTTCTAACATCCATAGGTCTTTTATACTCAATAATAACTCTGATGTTTAACTATAAACATGTGGTGGAAAAGATGAGTCTTTCAAAAGACAAATACATTCAAATAATGAATACTAAAAAAATTAAACATGTATTATTAATTTTAAAACTTAATTTTAAGAAGTCAAATAGTTCTATATATGGAACTATTTCAATGTGAACAGTTCCATATACAGAAACATAACAAAATAAGGGAACATCCTTGCCTCACCAGCTCCCTTTCTATCCTAAGTGCTACTATTCAGAGGTGACTTCTCCTTACCCCTTACTGTGTTTTTCTGGTATCAGCCTCCATTTTCCTAAATAACATGTTTATTTGAACCAAATTGAACCAAAACATGGATCTGACAAGCAAATTCCCCAAAAACTTATTTTTTACTTCCTTAATTTGGATTACTATTCTTATTATGTTAGTTAAAATTTTAGTATTCTTGTGCTTTGTAATGTAACACAAATCACACCACAATTTCTGGTTACATCACTTTTCAGTGTTTGTATTAACACACTATATAGTCTCTTTCCTTGACAAAACTTTTTTATAATTGTTCTATGATGCTATTAATTCTTCCCTAAATCTTCTTAAAAGTCTTTAACACATTTCAAAACAGTTTTCCACATGGTCAGGTAATCTATTAGTTCCTATCCGGGCTGACTGTTCTCAAGGCCTACCACAGAACCATCGCTCTCTGGGCTCTGCCTTCGTTCTTCTTCTTCCATCTGGAGTCCCTGCTCTCTGACTCCCGTATCACATTCTCTTTTGGTTTAGACCAGGGCCTCTCAATACTGACACTACTGACATTTTGGGCCCAGTAACTGTTATGAAATTCTGTCCTGTGTACAGTAATGTATTTAGCAGTATCCCTAGTTTCCACCCACTAGATGCCAGTAGAACACCTTCCTCCTCTCTTACAACAACCAGAAATGTCTTCAGGTATTGACAAATGTCCCGAGGGTAAAACCACCCCAGGTGAGAACTACTGGTTTAAATCCTTGTTTTGGTAGATGCCTTTTTCTGACTATCTCCTTGAAAAAAGATAGAGGAGATACAGCTTTGAGATCCTGTATGTCTGAAAACACCTTCATTCCACCTTTATAACTGATTGATAGTTTGGTTACAGATTTCTGGTTTAGAAATTTTCTCTCAAAATTATGAAAGCTAAGTTCAATTGTCTTATAGTTACTAATGTTGCTACTGAGAAGCCAAGTTCTTTATGACTCCTGAACCTTGGTTATGTGTTCTGCTGTGTCTCTGGGGAGTATAAGACCTCTTTATGCCTGATGCACTGAAATACGTGGTAAAGGGCCTTAGTGGGGGTCTATTCACCCACAATAAGGGAACTTTTAAACTCTTTTGACTACATATTCATTAACATCAGCTTCAGGAAACACTTTTATATTATTTGCTCAAAGAGTTCCTTACCTTTCCCTTCTCTGCCACTTCTTTCTAGAATCCCATTAAGCTCGATGGTGGACCTCCCTGAATTTATTTTGTAAGACTTCTGGATATTCTTTCTTCTATTTATCAGATATTTTGGTTGTTTTTGGAATATTAAGGGGCAATATATAGCATGGTGGCTCAAAGCCAGAATCTGAGCCAAAGTACTAGGATTTAAATCCGAAGATGTCCTCTCTCTGTTGCCTCAATTTTCTCACCTATATATGGGGATATTACCTCTTACTCTGTAAGGCTGTCGTGAGGATTTGAAGGAGTTAACATAGTTAACTTAGAACTGTGCCTTCCGTGAGTTAAAAGTTCAATAAATATTAGCTGATCTTAAGTTCAGACTATTTTTATCTTAACTTTTTATTTGTTCCTCTTCTCAATTTCCATGAATTCTATTTTCTAATTTTTAAAAAACAGTATCTTATTACTACATAAATGCAGTGTCTTTTTTTCTTTTTCTTTTTCTTTTTTGACCCTCCTCTGTTTATTGCATTTACTCTGCCTGGACTTCTTTTTTCCCCATTTTGCTTGTTTTATTCTCTCTTTCATGGTGAGGATTTCCACGAATGTCTGCCAATCTGCAGTTGACTACATTTAAGAGTAAGTCACTAAGAAGATGAATAACCTATCTATGAACATGGTAGGATCGTTGATCCAATGGGCTTTCTTTAAGAGTGACTGGTCAGAGACCTAAACTGTCAGAATCTGTCAGTCTTTTCATTGGAACCAGATTCTCTTGAGAAAAAATCACCTAGTCTCTCTTGCTGAAAGTGGGAGATACACTGGTTGCTAGGTTCTTACAGCAAAGCAAGCAGAAGTGGCTGGGAATCATACCATTTAAGATGCCAACTTCCAATTCCTCCCCATGTTTAAAATGGTGCCTTTCTCTTAGCTTCGGTGGAACCTGGTGTCCTTGAGTCAGAAGAATCGGTTTCTTCAGAGAATAAATCTACCTCCTTCTTGAAGTTAGGAAGGAGACTTGAGCACCTAATTTCTCCATATATAATCTGCCAACCAATTCTATATTTGGCCTCTTCCTACATCCCCACCTTCAGTAATCCTAGTGCCTCTGACTCTAGGCTTTTTTCAGACTGACATGTCCCTCTACAAGTAAGCAGACTTCCATTTTCTCAACTATTTCCATTCGCTTTCCTTCATCCCAAAATTTATTGATGTTCTTTACCCACGGTGGCCTCTTTTCCTGTTATCTTTGACTTGTTGGATTTACATATTTATTATTCCTTAATATCATTGTTAGTATTAAAAGGGTGTCAGGAAAGAATGGAGAAAAATCTGCATTTTCAATCTGATTAACCACAGTTCAAGGCAAGCCTTTTAAGTGTGAAAACAAAGTTCAACTTCCAAAGCTCAAGCTAGAACCACCCAGGTCTCCCAGGAAGTGTAAAACTCTGAGTCCCACTTACAGCCAGGGTTCACATAGTGGACCCAGGGATTTTAATTCTGGAATGCCTCCAGTGGCAGAGAATTCTAAGTGTGGCTAAACTGAAAAATTATCCTAAGTATCTCATATGTCTTTACTTAAATTAATCCGAAAGGTTTATAAACAAAAGTCACTCTGAAAAAAGAAAATTTTTGTTTGAAAACAAAGAGTTTTTTCATAAATAACCTAGCTAGTTCCTTAGCTACCACAAATCAGTATTACTCATGCTTATTTCTTCCTACTCTGATATATGATTAGAAATGATGTACTAAAAGAGAAAATGGCTTAAGTGGGGTTCCAAGAGGGGTTCATCTCAACTTTTTAAGAACTGGTTTGTTATCCTCTTTAAAATACATCCTGAACATCATCTGCTCCTTCTAGCTCAGGTACACATGTGTCCCAAATATAATTTCTTTTTTTTCTCATTGAAACATTTTCTTTTGGTATCATTAATATACAATTACACGAACAACACTGTGGTTACTAGATTCCCCCCATTATCAAGTCCCCACTCCATTACAGTCACTGTCCACCAAATACAATTTCTTATGCTGAAAAGTCACTTTTAAGTAACCACAATAATCCTTTAAACATTTAAATAAATGCTTATCGCCTAACTTTAAGCAACAAACCAATGCATATATGAAACAGCTATGTGAAATGAGGGGGTGGGAAATAAAAGACAAAGACATGACTCCAAAAATAAGAAGAATCTGGCCCAAGTTTCACAAGAAACTTATGTTGTATGTACAGATGTAATAGCAACATTGAGGCCTTTGGGAGACTCTGGGGAGCAGCTCACCTGGCCAGTTTTTTTTATCATGATGTTGTCACTATGTCTGTCACCAATCCCAAGGACATAAGAAGCTACACAGTAGCCAGCACAGGACAGGGTAAACTCCTCAATGGCTCGGTCCAGGTCTTCCCTGAACAAGAGGAAAAACAAAAGCAACGAAGGTTTTCAGCCTCTAAAATGTAAGAGACGAGATCCAATCTACACCTGTTTACTTTTTAATCCCAAAGAAAAGTGCACCACAGAGCTGCCAAAACCATCTGAGTAGATGTTGGATCAGCCAAGACAGTGAGGATGATCACTGAGGGAGCAGGGCAGAAAGGAATCAGCAGACTGGCTCAGAGACATATAACTGGAAGTCAGTCATTCAGATTGCTGTGTCCTAAGGGGTCATGTTTCAGTAGGGATGGGAGTAGGTTCATTCGCATAGTAATGAAAGGAAACTATCATCTGCTAGATGATGCTAGGCTTTGGAATATCTTTGTCGGTTCTGACCTAAGAGTAGAATCCCTATTTAAGAGTTAAGTATTGCAGTTCCAACCATTTAAATCAATGTTTTAATAAAAAGTAAAACATACCCTTTAGAGACAAGGATCTATGATCAAAGTTAGGAAGCTGATTATCACATATGAGTTCTTAGATTTTTGTCAATGATAAAACTTAAGTCTAACTTCGAAGTCTTTAGCCAAAAATATTTGAGATGTTTTCCCCTCACTGTGAAATTCTGTAATTGCCTATGTATTTTCCAGCACAATAAACATAAATAATATAATTCCCGGCACTGTGCTTTTTAGTTTGGAGAGATTTTCTACAAACACATTTACTTCTATTGTAAAAATCAATTTAAAACTTAAGTTCATATATTCACGTAATTATAGAAGTTGATGCACTTAAAAACTTATTTTAAAAATAAGTGAATTCTTGGATTGTAACAACTGGGGGGCTCTGAAATTTGATCCAGATAAAGTAGAATTCAATGCTAACCACCTATCAGCCTTTAGGAAGGCCCATTTGTCATTTTATTCTAACCTGAAATGAAGCAATAAAATAATACTAATATTTCTTCTAGGGCACTGATGATTCAAATTAGAATAGTTATTTGTTTGGCTGTTTGTTCACAAGGATGATGAATGAAATAAACTAACCCGGAATTATATTCTTTAAGCCAGTTCAGAAGGGCATCTTTGTTGAAGGCTGCTGCAGCAGCCACATTGCTACTGTTCAGCTGAATGTCAGCAATTGTTTCAGAGGTGCTCACAACTTCAATGAGGCCAGAGCGATCTCCTGTTGCTAAACAGCCATAAGGCAGCATCCTGAAATGATAAAAATGGCATACAGTCACATGGGTGTGTTATCTGTAAAGTAAAACATTAACAATTAAGTTTTTTCTTTGATTTTTAAGAAGTTATATTACTATTGATATCTTCGCCATTATTGAATTATTATCAAATGCCTTCTGTTTAAGAGTAATTTACTAATTTCTAATGTACCAGCTAAATATGTTTTTCTTATCTAGTTATTCCAGTGAAATATTCTTTTTGCTCATGTAGATGGACATAAGTACATCAGATACAAAGTCTTTCAATTTTACTCTAAATTTTGAGTATAATACTCTTTATGGAGTACCTAATAAGTGCCACATAGCAGGTCAAATAAGCACTTTACACATCACCTTAGTGGCAACTCCACCCTTTCAGTTGTTCAAGCCTACAACCTCAAGGTCATCTTTGACTCTTTCTCTCATTTCATCAATTTACCAATCTTGAAAATGTATAAAAAATCTAAGTACTTCTCTGCCTCCACCCTTCCTTCTGCTACTACCCTAGTCCAATCACCTTCAACCTCAGTTTATTATTCAAGTTTCTTAATTAGTCTCCCTGCTTTCACATCAGTCTGTTCTAAACATAACAGCAACATAATCCATTTAAAAATATATTATATCAGTACCCTGATCATAATTTCTGTACTGACTTCCCACCTGAGAGTGAAAGCCAATATACTTGCCTTAGCTCACAAGCCCTTCAATCTAGCTCCCTGCTCGCCACTTTCTCCATTCCTCCCCTTGCTTACTTTGTTCATACTATCCTGACTTACTTTCTGTCCCTCATACACATCAAGCACAATACTCCTGCTTTTCTTTATTTGTGTTATTTTCTCTGCATGAAATGTTCCTCCCCAAGACATCTACATGGCTTACTTCTTCACCATCTCAGTAAGAAATTCCTGGATCACCCTATTTAAAATCACAACACTCTACAACACAACACTTTCTGTCTCTTCCCTGTTTTATTTTCCTCCATAGGAATGCTATTCAACACTATCCAATACCCTAAATATTTTATTTGTTTGTTTATTCCATCCTTAGGAATGCTATCCAACACTATCCAATACCCTAAATATTTTACTTGTTTGTTTATTGTCTGTCTCCACCATTAGGATGTATGTTCCATCAGGCGGGGATGTTTTGTTCACTACTATATCCAAGTGCCTGAGATTGTGCCTAGCACAAAGCAGGTACTCAATAAATATTTCTGAATGAATAAACAAATTTAATAACAAAGCCCCTAGAAGTTCCAATCTTACAAATGAGAAACACAAGTAATTTTCAAAAAGTCATACACATTTAATTAAGAAGAAGATCCAAGACTTAAAACTAGGTCTGTGTGGCTCTAAAACCATCTTTTTAACCTAACACAGTCACCAGTCACTGACTATAAAATAGGCCTCTCAAGCTGCTTCTTGTGCAAAATCATTTTTTGCTAAATGGCGAAAGAGCATTTTGCTTTGATTTTTATTTACATGATACCTAATGAAAATAAAAATATTTTCTCAGGCCTTTTTTTAGCCACTTAAGAAGAATTTATTTTGTCAATTAGTTATTCACATCCTTTGCCTATTAGGGTTTTAAACATCTTCCTTAGTGGACTTACATCAGTTTTTTATACACTTTTCTCATGTTCATTATAAACATTTTCTAAAAACTGTATTAGCATTAGAGCAACTCCAAAATGGAATGAGTTAGCTTGGAAAGTACAAATAAAAGTCAGGTGACTCTAGAAAATGCAATGGAGAGAATGCATGGATTCATTAAATAAGAGGTGCACCTATAAGCCAAGAACTGCGTTATCTGCTGCTGCTATAGATATGAGCAAAACAAGTAATCCCTGCTTTCAGAAAACAGGCAAAGCACAAATGCACAATGTGCATGTTATCTTTGTATGAATGAGAAGTGCCATGAGCACATGTCAAGAGTCAAGAAAGATTTGTGAGACGGAAGGAGAAGGGGAAGCACAAAAGCAAGATTAGGAGAAGAAACAGTGTTTGAAAGACTATGCAGGGGGCCCTCAAGGTCAGGTAAGGACTTCTTTCTCCTAAATGTACTGAGAAAAACTGTAAAGGACTTTATGAAAGAGAAAGTGAGTGAGTGAGTGAGTGAGTGAGTGTGTGTGTGTGTGTGTGTGTGTGTGTGTGTGTGTATGTGTATGTGTGTTGGGGGACATATGAGTGTTAGTATGTATAAAAACCAGATAAAAGGGGGCAGTTTTATTAAATAGTTCCTAAATTTCCTTCCAACCAAAAATTCAATTATTTTATGCCTCTTAAAACACTTTCTTAGTTCTAGCAAAATAAAGTTGGGAGAATTGACAAACTACACGTTGGCAGCCTGATACACCAATACACTGCTTTCCATCTACATTATTAATTTACTTTTCCTCTTAAAAATATTCCCCTCAATAAGGAAGCTAATGGAGCATGAAAGTTTTCCCCAACACTCCCATCCTTATCATGACACAACACAAATGAAGTAAACACAACCCAGTAAAAGTGCACTTTGGCTCATTTTCATGTATCTCTTCCCATCCCACTTGCAGCTAAATTGGACAAAAGTCCAGTGACTTCCCGTTTAAAAGCAGACACTGATGAAAGTGTCCAGTGTCTTAAGGATGGAACACTCACAATGGGAAGGAAAAAACATCCTTGTCAGCAACAGTCTGACAAGAAGTCAAGCTGGGAACAAACTCTTGAGTGCTGAAATCTTATATGGACCCTCTTTGCACTCAACTTCTACACTTCTTATAAAAGCCATGCCAACAATCAGTAATATTTACCTTTTTTTCTCAGACTCTCTGATCCAAGGAGCATTTTACCTTTCCACCAAATCAAGAATTAAAAAATGAAATTAATTCTACAGCAATGGGGATGGCAGTCCCACAAACCTACTCTGAATGGATAGGTAGAAAGTTTTTCTCTAGTCTTGACACTGACACTGAGCCAAGTCTGAGTGGTACCTTAGCCCCTTGACTCCAAAGGAGGAAAGTGTAACTCCTTTACCTAATGCTTACCTGTCTCCTTCCTTCATCCTTCCAAAACTACTGACACCATTGTCATTAAAGGACTTCTGTATATAGCTCTCTTAAAAGGGAAGTAAACCCCATTAGGGCAATTCAGATGTAAAGTCACAATGAAAGTAACTGTCCAAAACTCAGCATCACAGGTATTTATGGGAGATCAGGGAATGGGAGGCTGTGTAAGACTGTCAAATCTACCAAAGGCCAGATAGATTTATATGTAGACAACCTATCAGACTTGACAGAAAAGGCTGATTACCTACTGTTTCTTGACCAAAGAAGGTCATAATATTCTAACATATTGGTGGCTTACAAATGTTCTATTCTGGCATGAAAGATACTGGAAGGGAATTTTGAGAGAACAGAGAACAATGAAAATAAGAAACATGCACTTTCATTCATGTCATGCTATCATGACAGTTACAGGTATTAAAATATTCAGATCAAAGTAGTACTGGATAGAAGGTATCTGAAGATTTGAGATTAAATTTAAAAGACTGTGCTATGTGACTCAGTTTAACTGAAGCAGCTGGCCAAAAGGAAAACAAACACAATAGAAGCACTGAAGCACATGTATTTACAGAAAGAAAAAGAAAAAAAGTTTGGTGAGCAAAAAATATTACTTTTGTTAGGTAGATAGATATGAGCAGCTGCAGAAGGGGAATATAACGTTCAAAGAAAAAGCTGCCCAGTTAACGGGTCCCACTTGAAGACAACAAAGGCTCTGCAGGGACACTACTTCCTTGTCTACTGGACCCAGGCCAAACCAGTCCCAACCAGGTCCAAACCACACCTCACTGTAATCTCATTAAAATAAAATATGGCAGTTTTGCTCCTCCCCTCCCATGGGCCTTTCATGTGTGCATTCTGGGAAAAGACATGTGCACAAAGAGGAATGGGCGAATAACTTGAACTGCCAATCAAATGACCTCACCCTGTCAATCGAAGAGGCACCTCCCGGGATAGAACATGATAAACAGACCCTCCCCTAAAAGTTCCATGCCTTTGTCTACCTTGACTCTAGCCCTTGGAGTGTATTCAAATAAAACTTTCCCTTTGCTTCCCTATTGTGTCTCTGCCTTTCAATTCTTTGTTTCAGCTGTAACTAGAACCAAGGAGAACAAACTTGACTGGCAACAGTTTGAAGATGTTTTCAAAAGAATTAAAAGTTCTGCATATTTTTTTATGGACAGACAAGTTCCTTTTTCTTGCTAGACACACGTTCTTGCCATCACACAGACCCCAGGTTTTTATCTAGCACTCCCACATGTGGCTGCCTCGCTTTGCCTGAGGTCACAATGAACCTCATTCTATGTCAAATGTGCTTTACATTTGAATAGATTTGGGTAAAATAAAAAACTAAGAGAAAAGAACTTGGCTGGGGTTTTCAATTAGGCTGTTGTAAATAGGGACAAAGTCTTTTAAAAACAAAACAAGACTCATCATATGGCCTGAATCTGCTCTTAGCAAAGGAAACCACTGTGTAGCTTGTGTGCTAAACTTGGACAGAACCAATGAGATACTAGCCTAAGCTTGATAAGTTTCCCCCACTTTTTGTGAGGCAAAATCAAGAGAAATCATTTTCATTAGGGTTTACTTCATAGGGTCAGTAAATTTTTGCTGTAATGAAACAGACAATAAATATTTTAGGTGCTACAGACTACTATGTGACTACTCAATTCTGCAGTTAGAGCTAAAAAGCAGTCAAAGACAATATAAAACAAATGGGTTGTGGCTGTGTGCCAATAAAACTTTATTTACTAAAAAAAAAAAAGGCAACCCAGATCCCTCTGGGTTTATGTTCCACTGGCAGTTGTTCATAATCACCCACTTCTCTTATTGATGCAGTATTTCTCAAGACTAAGTGACTGAGTAAAACAAAATGTGCTATCTATTCAAACCACTAATTCTATTTTCACACAGTTGTATTAAAAATTTCTACTATTTTAAAAGTAAAACGGTCA